TTCTACTTCCAAATAAAAATAAGTTTGAAATTATACTCAAAGATAAAGTAGTCCAATAATGTATTGTTATCTTGATGTAAATTACCTACATAATAAGGTAATCAATATTTTTAACTTTGTGTATAGGAATGCATAGTAAGTTAACTTTTAGCTTTTATAACCACAAAACGAAAACTTTTTTGATGGAAAAAAATAAGCTTTAACCTTAATAAAAAATCAAACTTAAATGTACGTACCACAAAATTAACATTATTTTGAAAAGGTTTTTTTTAAATTCCCGCTGTGTGTATATAATTTTATTATTGTATTGGATGAAAGTATAATAAACAATAAGAGACGAAAAAAGCAATTTTATTATTGAATTTAACTATCCAAATTTCTGTCGATTTTACTTATGTTTAACTACCCAGATAACAATTATGACATCATTTAAGACATCAACGTGAAATCATTGCTGATTCATTCATTGATGTCACTGTGGCACGCATATGTGTTCCCCTTTTGATAGGCAACATGATATCCTTAATGAGTCACACGATGAATTCGTTGTGACATCAACGTGAAATCATTGCTGATTCATTCAGTGATGTCACTGTGTTGCACTTTTGATGAGCAATGTGAGATCCTTAATGAGTCACACGATGAATTCATTATGAAATCAAAGGGATGTCATTAATGATTTTACTTAAGGGACTAAAAACGTTAAAATTAATTAAAATACCTAAATATTTATTTTCTTAAATAAAATATAAAATATTTAAAACAAGTTTTTATTAAAATTTAAAAAGTATCTTGCATCTGATTATTAATTTTTAATAAATAAAAAATGTATAAAATAAAAATAAATAAATAAAATAAACTCGATATGCTAATTATTAATAATTATATAATTATTAGCATATCTAGTTTAATTTATTTATTTTTATTTTATACATTTTTTATTTATTAAAAATTAATAATCAGATGCAAGATACTTTTAAAATTTTAATAAAAACTTGTTTTAAATATTTTATATTTTATTTAAGAAAATAAATATTTAGGTATTTTAATTAATTTTAACGTTTTTAGTCCCTTAAGTAAAATCATTAATGACATCCCTTTGATTTCATAATGAATTATAATCACATGCAAGTTAATTTTTGGTACAGTAAGCGCATTGCTCAATTAATTGCTATCATTTAAAATTTCTTTATTTTTATTGAGCAATAACTTTCTGTAAGTTTGTTTTGCTCCCCTTAATAATTCGAAATATTATATCATTCGAGAAAACACTTTTTGCCCCTTGGCCTTTCTGGTACAGCTTTAGATCTAAAGCAGCTTCTGTAATAAAAAATGATCTGATTATATCGCCCGGGCCTCTTAATGCTAAAGCCGGATAACTCAACTTTCATGATAAACAAAAAAGCCTTAACCAAGTATAATTCATAAATTAATTATAAAAATATATTTAAAAATACGATAACTTTTAAGCCTTGGTAAGATAAATCCATTTCCAAAACTTGGCAACACTGTTATATAACACAGCACAGAAATATGTCAGAAATGTTTCTTAGATATAACATTGCAACATTAGAAATATTGCAGTGGTATTGCAAAATGTTGCCGAAATATCTCTGATATGTTTCAGACTTATTAAAATGTCCGCCCTTGGAAACATTTCTTTGTAATGTTTCAGAAATATTACCTGGAAATATTTCATTGATATTGCAAAATGCTGTTGAAATATTTTTGATATTTTTCAGGCTTATTAAAATGGAAATATTTTTTATGGTGTTTACAAAATATTACCTGAAATATTGCTGGAATATTAAATAAAATCTCAAAAACATTTATATGGTTTATTTAAAAAATCTACATTGTAAAGCTCTTTTAATTTAAATTAAAAATTAAATAAAAAAATATATGTTTACATGTTGACTTCATTCTTCTTCTAAAAAGAATATTTTATTACTTATAAGTATATAGAAGTAATTTAATTTTAAACTCACCGCTTGCTCTCTGTTAATGTGTAAGCCGCCTTGTATTAGCCACTTCTCTATAATTTTATTGATTTCATCTTCATTTGATTCAGTGTAGTGAAGACAAACCACTTTTGTAAAAAGAGCAGAAAAATTTTATTTAACATAATATCAAAGATTAAATATACTATATATTAATATATTAATATATTAAAGAGTATATTTAATCTTTGATAATATATTATATTCTGTCATTTAAATAATTATTATGAATATGAAGTACCTAAGCATTACTCTATAATTTTAGCATTAGCTGATAGTAAAGCAAATCAGGAAGTTTCTTTTATAGAAAGATGGGTACCTTCCCTATACCTTCTATACAAAATTTAATAAGTAAAATTAAACACACTTCTCAAGAGAACACCCATAGAATGTGGCTCTATTTTTTTATTTGTTTGTATTCTATTGGAAACGTTATGCAGATCTCGAGCCAAAGCAATGGATCTAGAATTGCATACATAGGTAGAATGTTTCCATTGGAATAAAGACAAATTAAAAAATAGAGCCCATTTCCATGGGCCACGAGACTTTATGTTCGGATGAAATTGTTTAAGGCAGGAAAAATATCCCTGAAGGAGTTCAGGAGGTCAGGGAAATGTAATATTCATTTTAAATATCTCTTTAATTTACTTACTTAAGATTACTTTGTGAAGTATGAGTTCTTTAAAACCCTTTTTGTTTTTTTTACCCATCAAATGTGGACTGTACAGCTACTTCATTTTTCACCAAATGATTTAAAATTTTTGTAGTGGCATCATTTACAGAAGTGCCTTTCCCGATTCCTTTTAGGAAAATAACCTAAAACAAATATTTACCTAAGTCAATGTTATCAAAATAATAAAAATACACTTACAACATTTTTAAAGTATACAGGGTTACTAAACTCTTTTTCAATTTTATTTAAAACTGCATGTGTAAAAATATTGATCTGAATTGTTATTAAAAAATTCACAAACAAGAAAAATGTAGGTATAATAATATTAATCATATTATGATTAGAGTTGCCTCGCCATTGCCGAGTCGGCAATGCCTCCTAACCTAAATGTTTTTGAGCGTACTGGACTCCAGTCATAGATGACTCCAGTAACTCGAGTGAAGTCAAAACCATAGAAAAACATTGTTAATATGTAGGTACTTACCAGAGTGGGTACTTCTTTTTTTATACGTTTTTCCTTTAAGTTTACACCATACACAATATTCTTTATTATTATTGTTATTTAGAGAACAAAAAAACCGTTACACACAAGAAAGCATAGAAAGCGCTTTAAGCAGTGTTGCCGGATGAATTTCATAAAAGTTCCCGACCAAAAATAACAAAATACCCTATTTTACTTGCCAGGGTAAGAAAAATGTTTTGTTTATAAATTTTCTACCGTATCCGTTTTATTTTAAAAAATTAATAAAATTGAAGGATGGTAAGAGGGTAGAATAAAATAATTTGGTAAATATACAATAATATTTGCTGAAAATACCCGATTTTCAGGTAAAATAATCGCAAACGGCAACACTGCCTAAAAGCCAAACATTGAAATATTTCTGAAATATTTCTGACATATGTTGTGCTGTCACTGCTGTGTGGGATGCACTTGCATAGTTAAGAGAAAAAAAAGGTTATAAATTTAAATTATGGCACTATGACATATGTCATGATATCAAATGCATTTCTGTGAAATCACCTGGAGCTCATTGGCTGAATCATTGCTGAGCTCATCCTGAGTTCTTGATGAGATCATTTGTGAAATTAATTTCACAAATGATCTCATCAAGAACTCAGGATGAGCTCAGCAATGATTCAGCCAATGAGCTCCAGGTGAGGTCCAGGTGATTTCACAGAAATGCATTTGATGTCCTAGTGAGCTCACTGTGAGCTCACGCTATGATTATCACCGAGTGATTTTTTAATGATTCATAAATGTTATCTGGGTAATTATAAACAATTATAGAAGTTCGGGCCAAGAAAATCCCTTCGAGTGCTTATTCTAGACATAGAACACTAGGTCCTCCTAAATTTTTGTGCGATTCGGAGTTGATAGAAATCTGTACTGGAGGGTCAAAGTTTGCAATTTTTTTAAATACACCCACTTTGAAAAGCAATATTAGCGTTCCTTGCAGGGAAATAAATTTTTTTGAGTTACTCGCTTGAAGAGCATACATCAACGAACAAAATGAGCTATAGCGAGAGCAGATTAGTTCAAAATTGAATTTTTACTATTTTACTGAAATTTTTATTTTTTTTAACTACGTCCCAAATAAGGGTCAAATGGTCTAGAGGTCTAAAATATTTTTTTATACATACTAAAAGATATAATAAACAAAACCTGATACAAATAATTTAATTCCGGCTTAAAGTTATTGAGAGTCAAATTTTCAAAAATAAGATAAAAATAGTGAATTTTTGTCATTTAAATAGTCATTTCTCGTGACCTATGGCACTTAGAGGGTTGAAATTTGGTTTGTGGGGATCTTTTATGATGTACTCCAAGATTCCCAAGTTTGAACAAAATCGATTGACCCCTCCCGAGAAATCATTCGAAATGTAATGGAATTACTCATATATATATATATACAAATATATATATATATAAATTCATACGAAATATTTATATATTATTAAAGAATTTACATACATTTCGTGTAAAAATTGTGCAAATTTTATAAATGCAAGATGTGTTTGAAACTGCGAGACGGCTATTATAAAATAATTTGAACATTTTTTTCAGATTGTATGATGCTCTAGAACAATGTTATTTAGAAAGATATGTTATAAATAAATTACTAATCAATGTTTATGTCCATAAGAGAATGATTTTTATGGTGTATGATTTTGGAAAACGTTTCTATTCATTTATTTTGTATTTAAATCTAAGACAAGTCGATTTTTAGTGATACATTTCCCGAATTCTAAATAATCTTTCTACTAACTAATTGCTAACAAAACAGCATACATATTTTAGACAAGTTTTCTAAGACGTTTATTTTTAGAGCTCGAGCAATAAATCCACTGGAGGGTAGTGAAGAAAACAGTGCTTTTATACGACTTACAGTCAATGATAATCCAGGAAAAGAAATTATACCCTCTATTATCATTGGGCCTGAAGACTTAAAAATAGTGCAAGGAACTTCACAAACCATATTAGAATGCATTGCGAATGCATCTCCATTACATGAGCTTGAAACTATATGGTTTAAAGATGGAATACCTATAGAAAGTGCAGGCATATCTCATAGCATTAATGATATTTGGAATCGAAGCATTTCCCTGATTTCTGTAAACAATACCCATTCTGGCTATTATGAATGCGAAGTCATTCTTAGAACCGGAGGTTTTCCACCTCTTACAAAAGGTTCTATGGTTGTTGTTTTGGAAAAGCCAAGGTTTATAAGTACAGATAAGCCTGAAACCTTGGGGGAATATGGGTTGCCCTTGAGTTTGCCTTGTAATGTTCTTGGAAATCCAAAACCAACTATTCATTGGTATAAAAATGCAATTCCAGTTAATTTTACAGAAGAAAGGTATATATTGTAACTACAAGTATGTATGATGTTTTAAAATATTTACCAACTTTATAGATATACGTTAGAAGAGGACAATTCTTTAGTTTTAAAAAAAATACTTATAAATGATAGTGGAATGTACCAATGTTTTGCAAAAAATGAAGCTGGAGAAAGTTCGTTGTCCACCTGGTTAAAAGTAAAAAGTAAGCATATTTTTTATTTGAAATAACATATTCACTAAATAATTAATTTCTCCTAATTTCTAATAACTTTAAAATGTTTTATCATTAACTATAGAATTAAGGCAAAGAAGAAGTTTGGCAGCAAAATATGTGAGGCTCAGAAGTGGTAGTGATAGACACAGAAAAAACAATTTGGTTTATATTCCTCCATGTAAGGATATTGTTTGAAACATGTGCACTGTAGATTGATTTAAGTTTTTAGTGTATCAGATAATCTTATAATTCACATTACAGTAAAATCTCACGTCATATTTTTTGGTCAAAAAGACCTGGACAATATGATTGGGATGGATCTTTATGCACAAAAAAATGAGTATAACACAAACCGATTAATAACTTTTATTGGGAGCCTACTTATATCCACAATGTGTTTTGAATTACAATTAATTTAAAAATATAATTTATTATATTTTTTATTAAACTATTATGCACAAAATTAAGTTGATAAGATAACGATTTGGATACAAGTCTCAATGAGGTTATGATAGAAATCGCAGGTCGACATTTTAGTGGTTAGCCCCATCAGCCTTCAAAACAAATGCTTTAATTGTAGCTGTATGTGCAATGCACATTGTGCATTTCAAAACAACTATTTCTCAAAAATGGACCTTATTGCTTGTATCTCCATGGAGATACATTAGGGTGGTTCTTATTTGACCAATGTCAAAATTTTAATCGTGCCACCCCCTCATTTGTTTTTAAAAAATATAAAAAAATGTATGCCAAATTTGAATGTCCTAACTTATTTCCTTCTATTGCCTGTAACAACGAGAAGTTTTCCAGATAGAGGATTTTTGCCTTAAATGTATTAATTTTTTAAAATTACTATTAATCTATGAATAAGTATAGTTTTTTGAGAAAATGTAGAGGATATAAGTTACTTTAAAATAAAAATATAGAAAGCATGTATTTGTATCCTAAGGTCTTTTTTACTTCGCTCGATTATTACTTACAGTTTTTCATATAGGGGATTTTTTCTTTAAAACGCAATAATTTTATAAAATCATTAATAATTAATAAACAATTCTAATTTTTTGAGGAAGTGAAGGGAAAATATGGTAGTTTTAAAGAAACAAAAAGAATTCATTTATGTCTATGGACATGTATGTCCATAGTAAGGTCTTTTTTACTTCATTCAATTATTACTATTATTGTTATTTTATTGAAAATGGCATAAAAAAAACAAAATATCAGTGATAATTTGCATTTAATGCATAATTAGTGTGTTTTGAAACGTAATTTTGTACTTTTCTAATGTTGGTGCTACCTAAATATCTTTTAGGCAATCTTAAATTATTTGTTTTATAATACAAATAATTTAAGATTGCCTAAAAGATATTTAGGAAGCACCAACATTAGAAAAGTACAAAATTACAATTATGTAAATAATGAAATTGATTTTTAGATTGTTTTCGAGCAATTTATTTTTAAAGAAAGTAACATAATGGCAAAAAATTAAAAAAATAAAACCCAGATAATTAGGTTTTTGGTATTTTTAAAACTGTTTACAACAGTCTTTTTTTTTGCTTTTCGAAAATCTGACACAAGCTGTACAATAATATATTATAACACCAGCAAGAAGATTCTTTCAGCGATGGGATATCGATGACACTTTTTTGAAAATCGATCCGACTATGTGGACCACATAATGTGGCCTCAGGTCGAAAATTATCAAAACGGTTTAAAAACTGTAACTCAGCTGAGAATCGTTAACGATGCAGCCGAAAGAGCTGTGCATTTATTTGACGAGTATAACTCCATCATAACACACCAGAAGACCAGAAACAATTTGTTGAAAAGCATTTCCCGACGCAAAAAAAGACTGTTGTAAACAATTTTTAAAATACCAAAAACCTAATTATCTGGGTTTTATTTTTTTGCCATTTTAACTATGTTACTTTCTTTAAAAATAAATTGTTCGAAAATAATCTAAAAATCAATTTCATTATTTACATAATTGTAATTTTGTACTTTTCTAATGTTGATGCTCCCTAAATATCTTTTAGGTAATCTTAAATTATTTGTTTTATAAAACAAATAATTTAAGATTGCCTAAAAGATATTTAGGTAGCACCAACATTAGAAAAGTACATACATGAATTCTTTTTTTTTTGTTTAAAAGTAACATATTTACCCTTCATTTCCTCAAAAAATTAGAATTGTTCAATAATTATTAATGATTTTATACAATTATTAATAATTATTATTATAATCGAGCGAAGTAAAAAAGACCTTAGGATAAAAATACATGATTTCTTTTTGTTTTGTTTAAAAGTAACGTAAGTTTTTTTCTCAAAAAATTATACTTTTTCATAGATTATTAGTAATTTTAAAAAATTAAAACATTAAAGGCAAAAATCCTCTATCTGGAAAGCTTCTCGTTGTTACAGGCAATAGAAGGAAATAAGTTAGGACATTCAAATTTGGCATGCATTTTTTTAAAATATTTTTTAAAAACAAATGAGGGGGCGGCACGATTAAAATTTCGACATCGGTCAAATAAGAACCACCCTAAGATACATGCATGCATCTTTATATAAAAATGGAAATTGTACAAAAAGTGTACCAGGTACACTTTTAGAACTTTTAGGATTTGTACCTATTTATATAAAAATGGAAATTGTACAAAAAGTGTACCAGGTACACTTTTAGAACTTTTAGGATTTGTACCTATTTAAGTTGAAGTCTTAAAAGTCCCACCTTAACATTTTAATAAATAATAACAAATAATTTTTCTATCTGTCAGTTAAACACTTTATAAATTAATTATTTAGATTTAAATGTCAAGGTGGGATTTTTGGGTGTAGAGCCTAGTACATTGAAAAAGATTTGTTTAAATGCAGTATTTAGGCGTTAACGATAAATGTGTCACTATTGCAGGGTGTTCAGAAAAGCTTTAATAAATTGACAGCTGAGGTGTGTCAAAAAAGTTAAAAACTAAATCATAATGATATTATTATTAATTATTAATATTATTTAAGTCTTAAAAAATAAACTTAAAAACAAACAAAAACTAATAATTAAAACAAAAAATGTATACTTAATTATTTGGCGTTAAAATAATTATGTTAAATTGTCAGTTGGTTACCTTTTTTTTTTCAAAATAATTATTTTTTATTGTATCGCAACAATTTTGTTTGGGGTTTTGTGTGCATGGCATGATTAATATGTTTTGTTTTTTTTTCTAAATTTCTAAATTTATTTTAATGTTAGCTGCCACACCTCTAATGGAAGTAGAGCCTAAAAATATGACCGTTTTAGACGGTAAAGACGCAACGTTAGGCTGCAGAGCAATTGGTGCGCCTCTTCCCAATGTTACATGGATTTATAACGGTAAAATATTATATTTTCTCTTAATAATAACAATTATAATTTATTGTATACTTAATCAATGAGTATTTAATAACATTGATCAAATAATTTGTAATAACTATGTTCTAGGCGTTAACATAAAAACAACTAGCAGGGTACAAATTTTGGAAACTGGCGATTTACTAGTAGCCGATGTAAAAATAACTGATGCTGGACAATATACTTGTAGAAGATTTAATGAAGCAGGGGAAGTGAAAGGAACTGCTTATTTGACAGTTTTAGGTAAATAAATTAAATTTTAAGGTGCCAGTCAACCGACGGATAGTCCTATCATAGTAACAAATGTTATTTCCATTAGTTTTTGATATAAGTTTATCAAGAAAATTAATATTATTTTGGACCACCCTGTATATAGGTTATTGTAATTTTTGTAATTGTTTTTTTAAATAATGATGCTTAATTTAAAACCGTTAAATATAAATTAAAATGGCAATCAATTATTTTAAATATTTTAATTTTAATTAAAAATAAAAAAAAAAATTTTTTTCTATGACCACTACCCTGCTTAAAATACCCCATAGAGACCCTGCTCAAACCGATACATATTTCTATCAGAATGTATGGTGTTTCTATAGGGTGTATAAAATGAGTCTAAAAAGTCATGGAAAAGTCAGGGAATTTAAAGAAAAACGAAAAGTCAGGGAAAAGTCAGGGACCCTGCTTAAAATACCCTATAGAGACCCTGTTCAAACCGATAGACCCATAGTTGCGATTTATGGTTGTTCTATAGGGATATCCACCCTTGATTTATTTGCTATTGGTTTCAATGGGGAAAATACACATAAATGTAGAAATTAGTTTTTCCCCTGTAAGACCCCAAAGGTTTTAATAAAATTTTGTCAAATGTTTTATGGTATCTCTATAGGGATATCCCTATATATCCTTCATTGAGTTATTTTCTATTGGTCTTAATAGGGAAAATGTACAAGTTATGGTGTGCCTATATGTAATTTCCTATACATTTTATATCGGGCTGTATCCGGAAAAAAACCATGGACAAATGCACATATTGAATTAATGATTAATCCGGTAGCGCCCGATAGATTATTTTGTATAGGTCTCTATGGGGTATTTTAAGCAGGGGAATTATCTGTAAATAATACTAATTAATAAATAAAATAATATTTACTTAATACCTACACAATCTACATTATGATTTAATATAAAGGAAATGCTTGGGCAATTTTAATGTAAACCCAGTGGCGGCTGGTGGATTTTATGTATACCAATATCTCAGTTATTAGACATGGGACCCACACTAAATTTATAATAGTTTACAGTGGCGGCTGGTGGATTTTGGGTTTACCAATATCTCAGTTATTAGACATGAGACCAACACCAAATTTATAATAGTTTATAATGACATTAAATAAACAAGTTCGGCCCAAACAGAATTTAAATTGAAGTTTGCGAAAAAAAGTTAGTTTTTCCTGTTGCCTCACCCGCCTCCAGGCCCCCGTATTTGAAATAATTCAAATTAAAGTGGTGCAACTTAGTATCTACTATAATTTAAAATTTTATTTAAAAAATCCACATATTACAGGTTTTATACCATTTTAAATATTTTTTTATTTTAATAAAATAAATAATAAAAATTTAAAATCGAATAAAATCTGTAATATTTGGATTTTTTTAATAAAATTTTAAATTATAGTAGATAATAAATTACACCACTTTAATTTGAATTATCTCCTGGAGGCGGGTGAGGCAACAGGAAAAACTAACTTTTTTCGCAAACTTCAATTTAAATTCTGTTTGCGCCGAACTTGTTTATTTAATGTCATTATAAACTATTATAGATTTGGTGTGGGTCCCATGTCTAATAACTGAGATATTGGTATACCCAAAATCCACCAGCCGCCACTGAAACTACCTAATCGTGTAACTGTCAGTTTGTCTTTGACAAAAGTCAAAGTAACATTACAAGTCTTTCTCGTAATTGTGAAAAATTGTTTAATGACGGAAATCAAGGTTCTGGAAAACAAAAATTAACTGAAGGAACCAACCATGCAGTGGACATTATCAATATACGTCTACAATTATTGAGAGAAAAAGTTTGAAATAGTTATTTGACTTATTTTTGTATTTTGTTTTGTTTTTATTTACGAGAAATATGCTCTATGTTTTGTTATAACTATTAAGTTAAATTTTAAAAGATCTAAAACAAGTTTTGTTTTTGAATTACATATATGAATTATGCTAAGTTATTTGACTTATTTTTGTATTTTGTTTTGTTTTTATTTACGAGAAATATGCTCTATGTTTTGTTATAACTAGGTATTAAGTTAAATTTTAAAAGATCTTAAACAAGTTTTGTTTTTGAATTACATATATGAATTATGCTATATGTATATTTTTATGGTCTGTTATTAAAGCTGCAAAGTATAAATTCCATTTTTTAGTTTTTTCCTATTTGCCTGAATATCAATTTTTGACACCTTCCACAGTCTATGGAAAAAGCTTGAGAAAGTTCTGGAAAACCTGGAAAAGTCAGGGAATTTTTTACGAATTCAAAAGTATGAACCCTTTATAGGGATATCCCTATATATCCTTCATTGAGTTATTTGCTATCGGTCTCAATAGGGAAAATGTAAAAGTTATGGTGTGCCTATAGGTAATTTCCTATAAATTTTCTATCCGGCCGTATCCGGAAAAAAAAACATGGACAAATGCACATATTGAATCCGGTAGCGCCCGATAGATTATTTTATATAGGTCTCTATGGGGTATTTTAAGCAGGGTATGTAAAAGCTTGAGAAAGTTCTGGAAAACCTGGAAAAGTCAGGGAATTTTTTACGAATTCAAAAGTATGAACCCTTTATAGGGATATCCCTATATATCCTTCATTGAGTTATTTGCTATCGGTCTCAATAGGGAAAATGTAAAAGTTATGGTGTGCCTATAGGTAATTTCCTATAAATTTTCTATCCGGCCGTATCCGGAAAAAAAAACATGGACAAATGCACATATTGAATCCGGTAGCGCCCGATAGATTATTTTATATAGGTCTCTATGGGGTATTTTAAGCAGGGTATGTAAAAGTCACATTTCGTAATGGCATCGTTGCTTAGAAAATGAATCTTTTCATTGGCAAGGCAAAACACGAATGTAAAGTGACATTTTTGTTTGAAAAGTGACAGGTCTGTGTTATTTGTTTTAAGGCCGTATTACAGCCGGCAATTCTTTCGGCAATTGCAATGAAAATTGCCATAGGCATGCGCGGTTGAGACATTTCGACGAATCTCTTGCAATTGCCGAAAATCGGTCCGGATGGATTTTTATTGCCGTTTTACGGCAATTCTGGGGTGAAATCTGGTAACTTTTATGTTACCAACCCTACTACAAATTCCCTAAAGAGACGCTGTTTGACTTAAACAGTTTAAGGTTATTTGTTTTATGATTGGCATTTTGTTCAAAGTTCTAGTATCCATTTTACTCATTAATTTTTAAATATCTCTACTAAATAACAAATAAACTTAGTGTTTACAAAATCGTATATTTTTCTTCGGTTGGTAGCACGGTAATAAACAGCAAGTTTTCTTGCCATTGCCGGCTGTAAAACAACATGCAAGACGGCCTTGAAAACTAGATGGCAAGAAAAATTGCTGCAAGAAGAATTGCCGGCTGTAATACGGCTTTTACAAGTGTTGAAAAGCGACTTTTTCATGCGAGTTTTTAAGTTGCCCACGAGGCCGTTAGGCCGAGTGTGCATTAACACGAGCTTGAAGAAAGCTTTTCTCACAAGTATAACACAATGTTTTTTCTTTTATTTTTTATTATTTTTAAATAAAAAACAAAATACCCTACAAACTTTTTTGACAGCTGAATGTCAAACGATGCTTTCCGGTTCTTTTCACACAGACCTGTCACTTTTCACACAGAAATGTCACTTTACATTCGTGTTTTGCCTTGCCAATGAAAAGATTCATTTTCTAAGCAACGATGCCATCATGAAAAGTGACTTTTACATAGTGGTCGTAGAAAAAGAAATTTGCAGTATCGTTTGACATTCGTTTCAAAATTTGTATTGTATTTGTATATGATTGTCTAAATATAATTTAGAACACAGTTAATTGTGTTTGTATACTAAATTCTAATTTTTAGTGCCTTTATTTAAATTTAGAAGGTAAGTTTATTGATTTTAAGTAACTTATTTGAAAGTAATTTTAACAGCTGTCAAACACGTTTTTAGGCCTTGTAAGCAACTTAAACTCTTGCATGAAAAAGTCGCTTTTCAAACTTGTAAAACAAATAACTATTAATTTAAGGCCTTAAAATTAATTTGAATGGGTTAATATGCATACATATTAACATATTAACCCATTAATATGTATACATATTAACCCATTCAAATTAAAAATACTATAGTATTTTATTTAATGATATTATAAATAGTTAACAATAACATTTGTTTTTTTATTTAAAAATTAATATACCTATTGGTTTTTTTTTTAACTTTTATGCATGACATTTTTGTTTGAAATTTTTATGAATATTTAATTTATTTATTTAAAACTATGAAAAATTATTACGTTAGGTTAGGTTACCGAATGCTATCTAAATATGCACACTACCTAATATCACAGATAAAGGGATTATCTAGGGCGTTCTCTATTATAATACCAGGCGAGATTGTAGCCCAGCATCCAAACTATGACGCCAGGAGGCCTATTGTATAACATTGCTTTGCTTTGGATTATTATTGCTTTTAAGGAGTATTTTTTACTAAAGCAGTGGACAATGCATGCGTACATATTCTATTAAAATCAACAGAACAATATGTACTAAGTAATTTATTGAAAACAAACAGAGAAATGCTATTAAAATAATAATTTATTTAAAATAAACAAAACTACACACAAAAAATAATTCTTTAATTTTAGAATAACGATTGTTTTGAATTTGTGTATTTGAAATAAGTATAGTCTAATATTAAATAATAATTTTGTTAAGTATAATTTTATTAAAAAATTAGTTTACTTTATCTATTAAGAATAATTACTTTAATTAAATTTTCTTGTATTTAATTATAGAAATTACTTACACTCTTTTAAATATTAAAGTTTACTTAAAATAAATTAATATAATTATTTAAAAAAGAAGTTTTCAACAAAACATAATAGATTTAATTTAAATAAACACAAGTAAACTTATATTTGATTTGAATTAAGACTATAATATTTTTGCGTATTCCCATAAAAATGTTGGTTATTTAATGTAAATGATTATTTTTTTGTGTAAGCTCTTAAAATAGTTATTTATTTAAAACAAACATATAACTGCTAATAAAATAGTAATTTATTTAAGACAAACATAAAACTTAATAAAATAAAAAATACGGTAAGCTACTGCAAAAGATTTCCGGGGCGCCTTAACATCTTGTTTTCTTGCAGCTATAACATTATTTCTCAGTTTTTTGTAATTAGATAACGTACGTTACACATGACGCTAGTTATTTTTGCAAGTGTTTCGGATAACGGCTTATTACATATGCAAGTATCCTTGATTACTTGACGAATTTTCTCGTCCTGAGATACTTTGAGGTTTATCATATGTTTTAAAAGTGCATGATGGTTTTCGGCAAGATTTACAAACATGGGCTCCAATTGGGGTGATACTAAAGTATGCATAGTTTTTAGGGCGTGTTGTCCAAGTACAAGAACAATATTTGATGGGATAGTTAAACTACCTCGGTTAATATTTTGCACATACACCGAATCAAATTCGTCTCCTATTAATATTGAGGTACAATTTTCGAAATTTATTTTATTCTAAACTTTAAAGGTAGGGCCAGATCCCCTTAGATGTTGCCTCTAAATACATTGTAAACGATGAAAGTGCAAACCAACTCTTAGAGATATTGGCGACAAATGAGGATGAAGAAATGCTTATCGATTTTGATGCTTTAATTTATGTTTGTGGTTATGCAACATTTTGCGCCAATATCTCTGAGTTGGTTTGCACTTTCATCGTTTACAATGTATTTAGAGGCAACATCTAAGAGGATCTGTGAATTTTTTTTTCCGATTTCATTACCTGGGTAACGCTTACATTGTAGCACAACTTTTGTTACTTTCAATGAGTACCTGAGTATTGAGTTAATTAATATGGGCATTAGAATAATGTATAATGCGCTATAAACAACCAGATTAACCAGTCTTTTTGGATAATGTCAAAGGGCCATTTGAAGCATACAAACGGGGCAAATCATAAAACTGTTTTTATAAAAAATATTAATATTTTACAATTGTAAGTAATATATTATATAATATTTTCTTAAATATATTCTTCCTTTATTAGGCTATACATAAAATAAAAGAAACATAAGCAATATTTCTATAAAAGTAGAGATAATTTTTTTCTGCTGAATAAAAAAAGGGGCGGCAAAACTGTTCTTTGCCCAAAGAGGCAAAAAACCTCAGGCCGGCTCTGACAATCGATAATTCATATGAAACTGTCTTGCATTACCGCGATAATACATTATTTTCCTGTTGGGGGACATCAATTAATTACGTATGACAAAAATAGGGGGGAGGGGTCCAGCAAAATGTCAACAAATCTCGTTTTAAGGGAGGGGGGGTTATTTAAAATCTCACCTAGGGGGAGGGGGGGTCCAAATTTTTAGAAAAATGTCTCACGTCATTAATGGATGTCCCCTTGCCTGTTAGGAACGCAACATTTTCTTGGTAATTTTTATTTATAGCAAACTAATGCAATATTTAAATCAACGTTAAATCAAGCGATATCAATAAAATAGCAATAGATAATTTATATGAAACTGTCTTTTATTACCACGATTATACATTAATTTGCTATTTCAGTCGCCCCCCACTACCACACTCCCGCCTGGTATAAAAAACGCCGTGGATTATCTCAAAAGTTATTGTAAAATAAAAAAAATATATATATATATATATTTATTTAGCTAATTAAGTATATTAAAAGCAATAGATTTTGGTTAATGAAATATGACAACTTGCCTTTTATTACTTTATTAATTTTCTCTTTCGGAGTCACCCTATCCAGAGAAATGGTGTAATCCCTCGTGATGCAATCGATATAAAATAAAACACAAAAATTGTAAAAAAAAATATTATAGATGGCAGATGCTTGAGTGCTTTTAAAAGCGCTCATAAATATAAACAATAAAGGTAAACAAACCACAAAAAGTCTTTTCCTTAAATTTCCAGAAACTTGCGATAAATAAATAAATAAATAAAAAAGATCCTTAAAAACATGTCCATATATATATATAGTTATTTAAAAATAAAGAAATATTTTACATTTAGTATAAACTATTAACACTTGATAATTTATAGTTCGAACGCAGATAATTCAACCTCCAGTTGATACTAGAGTTCTTTTGGGCCACACTGCAACTCTACAATGCAAAATTTCATCTGATCCCATTGTCCCATATCAATTAGACTGGTTTAGAGATAAACAGTAAGTAAAATAATCTTATGATATAACATTTTGGGGGGGCAGTAATATATATATATATATAAAATTTAACGCACCACTAAAAATTTGCCACAATTTTAAAGTTGATTTTCTCGCGAAACCAAATTTGGTAGTTTTTGTTTTAAATGAGTATATGAGTATGAGTATAAGAGACGTATAACCAGCCCCATTTCCTCTTGACTCTCGAACCCCGTACAGGCCTATGTTTACTTACGCCGATTTTTGTTCTTCCCCAGCAACTGCACGGTTTCACCCGTGTTTGCTGGGTGCGAATGTCCATTGCGTTCCGTACTGTCCCCTATTTGGGGCTCGAGAGCGAGAGGCGAATAGTTATAATAGCCTTTCCCGGGTTCGCCGAGCCTATGCTCAGTGGGGTATGGAGGAGGGACGGGAGGGTGTTGGTTTTTGGGGGACAATTACTCCGACTTAAAACTAAGTGCGACGCGGAATCCCCCTAGACCAGTCGATTAGTATTACTCCAAACATTTGGGATTACTATTTGGAGTTGGGGAGTTGTTATTTCGCTGCAGGGGTGTAGTTTCCTAGTCGAGGTCTTTGTCTTGTTCGTTATTGTCATTGTCCGTGTCCTGGTCAGATAGTTCCTGCCCTTGGTAAAGTGTGTCAGTTGTTTTTAATAATTTTTGTCCCAAGCACGTTTTGTGGTAGAGTTCCGTCTTTCTTTATCAAATTCCAAAGCATTGCATTTATTCACTAGTCAAACAAATCACAAGCGCGATTATTCTGTTGTCTAATGTTTACAAATCTCGAGTTTGGCTATTAGGCCTTTTTTTTTAATGTGTTAGAATTATGATCAATGTTAGTTTACTCTGTCAGTCCAGTGTTTATTTTCGGTCTCGAATGGGACCGCCTTACGCATTTGCTGTTGACAGACTTATTGCCCCACGCCGCGTGCCCTTCATAGGTTTTAAAGATATCCCAATAAACACTTTAACGATACCTATCACCACCAACATTGCCCGTGTAAGAATTTTTAATACTTTTTAATACAATTTTGCAATGATAGTAATTAAAAACAAAACAATTGTTTAAAGAGTAAAATATGTTCTTAACATAATCATATTTTAGAGTTATTTTAACATTTTCAAGTAAAATAAATGTTATGTTTAATAAAATGAATACGGGCAATGTTAATGGTGACAAATAACGGAAAATGTTTGCTGGGATCTGCCGTATTTATATTGCAGATTTGTATCAGGTCATGCATACTCTTAAAGTAAAACTTATCAGCTTTTTTTTGCGGATGGCCACCTCCCCTCTTCTCCGACCTCCCCCGTCCGTCCAGTGAAAAGCCTCCAATGACAGGTGGCACCCAATTCATTCATATCACTCAACACTCCACTCCTCAATGACCGTTACACCATTTTAGTTTGCACTCTATGAAAATGTTTGTTTCACTTATTAGTTTGCACCTTTTATTTTTTAATTATTGTTGGTTTCATCTTAAACTTTTACGTTTCGAGCTTTCCCGCACGCGACGTGTCTTCTCGAGCGCTGGAACCGAACTATGTAGTTTTTGTTTTAAATTGTAGGTTTATTCTTTGGTTATGACGCCTTTATTAAAATATTTTTTTAAATTTACGTTTGAGTATATACAGGTTGCAAGAGTAATAATAAGTTTTTTCCTGTAAATTTGAAACGCCCTGTAGGTTGTACCAGCTATAACAGCATATTTCCCATATAATCAAACTATAGCCCCATCTTCTCTTAACATTTTGTATTTAATTCACCGCGTTATCTTTATTTTTAAAAGAAATATACAGTTAAATATTAAAGAACTCTAGTTTAATAAAAAAAAATGTAAAAAGAACGATTGTAACAATAACAATAAAAATAATAAAACCAACATTAAAGAATATCAATATCGCGTATTTCCGCCTCTACTTCTAATTACGGCTTCACATCGACGACTCATACTCGAAACCAGATGTCTAATCTCGCCTTGATCAATGACATTCTATATTTCTTGTAGCATATTTGCTACGTCATCAAGGGAGGCAGGCATCATGATTTCTTAGTCGTCTATCCATATTATCCCAAAAATGCTCAATGGGGTTGACTCCGGACTATTTGCAGGCCAGTCTAAAGTTTCAACACCCACCTCATGTAAGTACTCTTGCACTATATGGGCGGTGTGAGGTCTTGCGTTATCTTGCATCAGTAAAAAATTATTACCGATGTACGGGGCGAAAGGGAAAACATGCTCAGATAAAATGTCCTCGATATATCGATGTAGTACACACTATTCATGGTACCTCCATGAAAAATGACGAGTTCTGTGCGAGCTGTCAAGGAAATTCCTCCCCAAACCATTACAGAACCTCCATTAAATACAAAGCTGTTCCGAGTACAATGAAAAAGTACTCAAGTACTGAATACAAGTACTCTTATATAAAAGTACTCGAGTACCAAGTACAAGTACAGTACCGTTGTACTCGAGTACCCATACGAGTACAAAGTACCGAGTACACTTTAGTTATGAAATGTTGGGAAAAATGCTAGAGAAATGGGGCGAATAAGAAATGAATTTAGAATCACTAGTGCAAAACTAAACACTAGCCGGCCTATTGCCTTCATCAAATATTGATTTAAGTTAATTATCAAGGCCGGCTAGTATCATGTTTCACTTATTGTCACCTTATTTCTACCAAAATATAAACAAAATTACATTTCATACATAAGTAAAAACCTTTTGTTCAATGCTCTTTTTGTGTCTTTTTATTTATTGATTGAGGCTGTTTTAAGGCTGTCGTGTGAGTCAAGCTGGCTGATGCTGCCTCAGGCAGCATGTCCGTAATTTGACAAGTCTGAGCAGTATTGCCAAATTTTCAACACCCACGCACATATGTGTCCACGCCAACCTCACTGCATAAAAATGTACTCATTGCATACTTTGGATGTACTCGAGGACACGTAAAAGTACTCGAGTACACGGGAAAGTACTCGAGTACACGGGAAAGTACTCGAGTACACGGGAAAGTACTCGAGTACATTTTTGCAATCTTAAATGTATCAAGTACAAGTATAAGTACATTTAAATTAAAGTACTCGGGACTGAGTACCGAGTACACTGAAAGTACTTGGAGTACAGTGTTTGAGTCCTTGTACTCGAGTACCGCACAGCTCTGATTAAATAGCGTGGTTTCACGAATGTTACACTGTGAAAATCTCTCATTTGGACGTCGGAGAACCCTTACTCGCCGATCAGAGCTGAATAAACAAAACCTGGACTCGTCTGTAAATAGTACACACTGCCAATCCTCAATATTTCAGCCAACATGTTGTCTGGCAAATTGCAGTCTTGATTTACGATGATTTGCATTTAACTTCGGTCCTGTTGCTGGAATTCTGAAGGTCAAATTCTGTTCCGCAAGACGTCTTGTTTGAAAATTATGAGTAGGATTAAGTCGTACCTAGATTTAATAATAATTTAATAAAGGAAACGATCATGTACGACTGTTGTCATTCGATGCCTTCCCTGCCCATAACGTCTGTTATGATCGTGGGTTTCTTCAAAACGTCGAATAACGGGATATTGAGGTATCCCAATCTCCGAGCTATGGCACGATAACTTAATCCTTGCTCGGCCAATGTAATAATTCTTACACATTCATCACGATTCAAATTTTTCACTTGGCGCTCCATTACAATAACTTTATGCAGACAACTTAAATGAAAATTACAGTTTCTGACCTACCATGACCTACCTATGTTGAGTTCTTCCATTTTAAATTAAACTGTTATTTAGTCTTTAACCGCATATCTCATTTAAAAAAATAGATAGCGACGTAAATCAAAAAACGAAATGTTAAGAAAATATAGGGGTATAGTTTAATTAGAGTCATAAGCTGGTTCAACCCACAGGGCGTTTAAAATTTCCGGGAAAAAACTTATTATCACTCTTGCACCCTTTATATACTCAAAATGTAAATTTGAAAAAATATTTTAATAAACGTATTATTACCGAAGAATAAACCTACAATTTAATAAAAAATCACCAAATTCGGTTTGACGGTTCGCGAGAAAATCAACTTTGAAATTGTGGAAAATTTTTAGTGGTACGTTAAATTTGACGCGAAGTGTATACCCTATTATAAATGCCCTATAGAACCCATATTGATCCAGATAAGGAAACTAATATGGATTTATATGGTTCTATATGTCCTATATGGAACGACCTGGTTTACACTTTGGAATCTATATGGTTTAATATGGAATTTCATTTTAAAATGTACAACTTAGGGATTTTTATATGGATTTATCTGGTTTCTGTTTTATGTGTCTTTCCATATAGGTTTCCCTATATGGTTGAATATGGAATTCCATTTTAAAATGTATATATATTTAAACGAAAATTGCATATTAAACCATATAGATTCCCCTATATGGTTAAATATGGATCTATATGGTAATAATTTTTTTCACACCCAAACCATATTGGGCCAGATAGAGTAATATGAACCTATATGGCAATCCATATAGAAATCACTTTTCTATATGGTTTTCCAGGTATGGAATTCTATCTGGTTCAATAGTGCAATGCCTGTTTCAAATTCCTATATTGAACCAGATAGAACCATATAGATTTTTATTTTGTGTTTCTATATGGCATTTTTAATAGGGTATATAAAGGGTGTTTTTTTGAAGGCGGAGAACTTTAAGAAATAAAACACAACAAATTGTTTTTATTATTATTCATGAAATTGGCTTTATTTGAAAGATAATTTTTTGGCATTAATGTTTGAATATTATTTCGGGCATGTGGCCGCCGCGGCTGGCGCGTACAGGCGCTACCTAGAGGTCCAATTTTCACACACTCTTGCAGGCTGTATTTCGGCTATAACGCGTCGAATGTTGGCTTCCAAGTGCTCAATTGTTTCTGGTTTATCGGCGTATACATGCGACTTTACATGTCCCCAAAGAAAATAATCTAATGGCGTCAAATCGTTTAACAAGTCTAATTGTTGAGCACGATGACGAAATGACACATTTGGATCATCATCAACACTACGCTGCACACCGGCAATCGCGTGTGTACGACGTCTTACGGGATGCGTATTATTGTTTAGAGTAAAGGAATTGCAAAAACGATTCATAGTGTCTTGAATTAATCGGTTTATAGGACCATTATGAGCAACATAAAACTCACGAAATGCCCGATGTGTTTTCCCAATATAACCGTTATTTTTAAATAAATTGAAACAATTTGCAAACGATGTTTCGGCATGAATCTGTTTATGATGAATTGCCAAATCGGCTGTCACAGAAAACAGTGTTGCCAATTTAAAGTTCTCCACCTCTTAAAAAAAACCTTTTATATATATCGCAAAGAAAGAAAAATATAAATATTCGAAAAAAGCGCACTTGCACCATACCACATAATATGGAAGATTGTTTTCAGTTCAATTTATTTTATTTTAATAGTTATTAAGCACTGACGTTTAAAAAATCAATAAAACTGTGTGATGTTTAATAAAAATAATACATAATACCTACATACAAATATGACAACTGTATTTTGGAACAGTTCCTTAGAATACAATAAATCATTAACTTTATCGTAATAAAAACTTACACATTAATAATCTGTCTTGAAGCATTTGTATTTATTTTTATACCCAAAATAACCTTGTGGTATGGTGCCAGTATTTTCAATATCTTCTGTATGCATATTTTTCAAAAAATTATTACAGCTAAAATAATTTAAAAAATTTAAAAAAAGCATATCCTTTCAAAACATCCTGTACATTCATAATATCTCGTTAACAAATGTTTGTTATTTTTTTTAGAAAAATTGAACCAAATGGCAATGCAAGGATAAATATTCTTAGTGATGGCACATTGGAAATTCAAGCTGTTAGACCTTCAGATGTAGGAGTTTATACTTGTGATGTAAAATCACCGGGAGGTACGTAATTTTTAAAATTAAAAAAGCACTGATTATTATCAAAGAAAAAAATGGGTTATTTCATTTAAATTTACTACAATAAATAATATATACTTTATTTTATTTTAACATCCAGATACAAGTGTACAGAAAATATAATTTCCACCCATTGGAGGTAATAAATTACCTGTGCATAGGTCCGGTACATCCCAGATAGCACCATTCGTCCAATGGACGTCCGTTTAAGATCCATTTTAAGTACATTGGTCCACGGACTAAAAATGGATGTACTATGTACGTCCATATATTTACATCCTTTGTACGATTTTAATGGACGTCCATATAGTGTCCATTTTACGTCCATAATTATTATTACGGAAATGTAGTTAAAACGTATTGTTGGCTGCATAACAACAGTTATGATCAATCTCACTGACATTCAAGCAAGCGCGGGCTATAAAGGACTTAAGCTATCAATGAAATGTTAAACACTTGTAGTATTGCAAATGTAATATTCGAATACAAGGATTTCCTGAAATGTTTAACATTGAATGTTGTAACTTTTAACAACTTTTAGAATATTTATATTCCTAGTGGGATTGTTACTGAGCCAGACAAAAGGCATTTCAGTCATGTTGTAGAAAATTTTCTGCAACATCGCAATGAAAATACAGTCGCAAAAAACAGTTAAAGTAAGCAAAAAAGCAGGTCCTGGATGCTGGAGGAATGGTTTAAACACCTTATAGACGTCCATCGGTGGACGACTTATGGATGTCCAAAGTTGTGACATCTGGACTCTAAACGGATGTCCATGGGACGTCCATAGAAAAAAATGGACATCCTATGTACATACAGACGTCCACGAGCATACGTCCATTGGACGTCCATAGTATACCTTTGTGCTATCTGGGATAACTTAAAACTAGGATCTTAAAACTAAACTAAAACTAAAATAATATATAATTTTTTCTTTATCATTGCAGATACTAGTTTTTTTACCAACTGCAAGCTTGACTTTTGGCAGTACAATACTTTTAAACCTAGTTTTTTTATTACTATTTTTGTAGTTATTGAAATTGATGTATGGTTTTTATATAGTAGTATAATAAATTTAAATAGTTTCTAGTTTATATTAATATTAAATAATTATTTAAATAAATATTTCGATATCATTTAATTTAAGGCAATGAAACAAGAGCGGCAAAACTCAGTGTGATTGAACTTCCGTTTGCTCCTGGCAATGTAAAGGCTGAAAGAATAGAAAAAAGTAATCAAAGAGTTGTTAATGTTAGCTGGACTCCTGGATTTGATGGAAACAGTCCTATTAAACAATATATTATTCAAAAAAGAGAAGTTCCGGAACTGGGTAAGTATTTATTAAGTAAAATTAGGAACGAAGATAGGTGCGTTATTTTTGACAGTTGTAGTCAAAAATGGCTAAAAAGTTATAATAAGTGCTTACATTTTTTTACATAAACGAATAAACAATTGTTGTCACTAAAAGATTAAACAGTAAAATATAACAGTAATATATATATTTATAACCTTAAACTCTCGGTAACAACTATTTCGCGCCAGTACCGATTTTCGGGTGGCACCAAATCTTCTAATGTTCTAAGTGCGACAAGAATTTAAATATGAACTTGGGTCCAAAAAAGTAGTTTTATTATTAAATTAAGATCTTCATTAAACTGCAAAAATAAAAGCAAAAAAGTAGCTTAGATTACTCTCCGCCAATGAAATCGCAACCGCCGTTTCGGAGGTTAGCCAGGACAAACACTTATTAATTATAATTGTATATGTATAATTATAACACAATAATAAAATATATCCATACCTTGTATATGGATTTTTCCATTCGACCAGTCGCTTGGTCCAGTCGGAGCGCGCTTGCTTGGTAGCAGTGACGCGCGCGCCCGATTTGAAAAATGCATTACTCTCAGTGTTTTTATTTCTCTTTACTCAAATATTGGTAGTACAAAAGAACCTTGTATGAACATTTTGGAATTGAAAAATCAAAAACTTGTTTTCTCAAAATTTGAAAAAAAGATAATTGTTTATGAAACTTAATAACTATTTTGTTATTAAAAACAATAATGCATTTTTCAAATCGGGCGCGCGCGTCACTGCTACGCAGTCTATTATTTATAAACGAAAAGTAACAAAACTTTTCAACAAATAGCGAAAGAATTAAAAAAAAAGGTTCTCCACTGTACCTACCTATAATACATAAAGTAATAAAAAAATAATAACATATTTTTATAACCTATTTTTATAACATACATATATAACCTAAACTATAATAAATAAATCACAGAAATAAATACCCATACATATTCATGGATGCATAATATATTTTGAATCTTTTTTATAAAAAACAAAATGTCTTAGTAAGCGGTCGTCTATTTATTTTATTCTGTCATGCAGACGGAAAGGGGGCGACATGTTTTAGCGCATTTATTTAATGTTATCAGCAATCTTACACTGTTGCCATAATTTTTAAGAGTCGCGTCACGTTTTTGTCTTGCAGATAATACGATGGAAATAAGTATTTAATGTTTTGGGGCAAGTATCGGCCGGGCCCCCTACGAGGTTACGCCCCCCCGCGGTGGTGGACGCTCGCGGTACTGTCGCTACGCCACTGCTGACGTCTTAGACAGCGGGTGACGTTTGCTATTTCGTACCAATGACGTCAGCGGTAACCGGGAAAGAGGTAAATTCCGGTCGAAGCAATTTTGCGCTTTAAAATAGTTTGTGGTTGGCATGAATCTTGTGGATGGTTGTTAGGTTAAAAGTGCTATCGTGGGTGTGTATTGGAAAATACTTGTAGGAAGGTACTCGCACAAGTTTGTTTTTATTAGCGTTAATTACTGATATAATATCAGTGATAGTGTACCTATGAAAACTTGGTACCAACATAAATATTCGAGGCAACACGCGCCAAAGCTTTCCACTATCTGCTTCGACAAGCAATTTTGTTCAAATTTGGAAAGTTGTACAGTGTTCCCGTACATATATGTGACCGTATATATGTGTATGCTTAAAATCATACCCCACTTAATTTCTTTACGCCTTTAAAAAATCTAACGTCAAACGTTTTTAGTTTTTTTTAAACGACCATTTTTATTTTTAATTTCTTTGATCTTAATTTTAATATTAAAGTATCATTTTTAAATTCACCATAGGATGTGTCAGAATATGCTTATTCAAAGTAATAAATAAATAAACAATATAAATATACAGGGTAATTCACCTAACTAATTTATTATAGTAAACTAAAAGAGATATCAATATTAAATTGTGGTTGTAATCTTTTTTTCTAAAATATTTTCAATGCGCATGCATTTAAGAAAACAAAGTGACTGCAGTCACTTTGTTTTCTTAAATGGAACCCTATACAGGGTGTTTCAATAAAAACTCCCAGGCCAATTATTTCGAAAACTAAAAGTGACATTTAAATTCTGTAAACGCCAGTTTTTAGCCTCTATGATTGGCTTCACAACTGTGTAAAAAATGTTTTTGAATAATACAAGATGTAGGTGGCGCCACTGTGCAAAAAATTTTTTCGATGGCAGCTACTTTTAAATTAATTTTTGATCAAATTATGTCCTATACAAATTTTTGATAAATTCGACATGAACGGAGATATTTGGGGTTAAGTTTTTTTTTAAATAATTTTAACGAGTATTTTAATTATAAATATTTTTAATATGCTTTAGCAGATGATCATATAATTCTGGTAATCATAATTATAGTGATAAAACGCTAGTGTAGCGCTAACTAGATTAAAATTATTACGTCCAGTGACGCCTTAACAAATAATATTGGCAAAAAATAATACGCCACTGAGTTTTTGGTACTTTTTATATTTTTATTCGGACTAAGCAACTAAAAATATCCTTTTTTGTCTGTTAAATTGTTTTCATATCTTCCTTCGTTTTCGAGAAATACAAATAAAACCATTTGGAAAACAAATATCATTAAGAAACAAAACCATAAATTATTAATACGCTATATTTTTTGCTGTTTAAAAACAAAGGTAAAACATTAAAACATAATAAAATAAAATTAAAGGATGTTTTAAATTTTATGAAAGAGTGGTGAGAAATTATAAAAAATTATTAAAGAAAATTAGAACAATACCAAAAACTAACTAATAAGGTCGAACGAGGTGTTTAAAATTATTGCCGTTTTTATACACACATATCAAATCGATATAATAATTCGGTTCTGCAAACTTTCAATAGTGTATTTTGATTAATAGCGGCTATAGTAACATATATTTTGTTGTACAGGTCAGCCATGTCTTCTATTGGTTCCTTGTAGACCTCTTTTTGTAAGCCGCCCCATAAATAAAAGTCAGGGGACCTTGCTGGCCATCTAAGATCCCCATTTGTGCTGATCACTTTTCCTGAAAACGCCATTTAGATGATTCATAACGATATTGCTATTGTGTGCTGGGGCACCGTCTTGATGAAACCACATAGTATTTACGTCAATTCACAAATTTTGTAAAAGCAAAGTGAGATCGTTTTGCAGAAATTGTAAATAACGAACTGAAGTTAAATGTTCATGGTACAAATAGGGCCCGAATATGTAACCATTTACAATACCGCACCAAACATTTACCCCAAATCGTGTAAAATTTAGTCTGTCGTATCCAGTTAGGATTTTCCTGGGACCAATAGCGACAATTATGTTTATTAATTACTCCATTATTGTGAAACCGGGATTTGTCACTCCACATAATTTGGTTTAATAAATTTGGATTTTCTTCCAAAAGAATATGAAAATGTGTCAAAAAGTTTAATCTGCGCTGGTTATCTCCTTAATGTAGATGATGCACTAGATGAACCTTGTATGGAAAAAACATATTTCCTTTTAGGAACTTACTGAAATATTGGTTTCATCTTTTAATATTGAAATATTAGTTTCATCTTTTAATTTTTGTAATGACGATTGTGGGTTATGTTTTACTGATTGGAGGACTAAACCTACATTTTCGTCAGTCGTATCCCTCTTCCTTCTTGGAACCGTTTCCTTTTTAAAGCTACCATATGTAGCTAAGTTGGTACACAAAGCTACAAAAGATTTGCGATCTGGCGTTGGTCTCGATAGCAGCGCACAGCTTCTGAAGCATTTTGATGTTATTCTCCATAAACTAAAACCATGTATGTACAATTTGTCTTGATTTGTATGGTGAACCATTTTTATTTTAGAAATGTAGAAATTTAAAATTCTTACACTGACACTAAGTAAAGAAAAAATTACTTGATGTTTCTAAAATTCAATTGTTTTTATTTAATGATTATTGTTTTTCAGAGATATGCAGTGAAATGGTTTTATTTTTATTTCTCGAAAACTAAGCAAGATATGAAAACAATTCAACAGACAAAAAAGGATATTTTTAGTTGAATAATCCGAAAAATATATAAAAATTACCAGACACTCAGTGGCGTATTATTTTTTGCCAATATTATTTGTTAAGGGGCCCCCTGAGGCGTCACTGGACGTAATAATTTTAATCTAGTTAGCGCTACACGAGCGTTTTATCACTATAATTATGATTACCAGAATTATATGATCATGTGCTAAAGCATATTAAAAATATTTATAATTAAAATACTCGTTAAAATTATTTAAAAAAAAACTTAACCCCAAATATCTCCGTTCATGTCGAATTTATCAAAAATTTGTATGGGACATAATTTGATCAAAAATTAATTTAAAAGTAGCTGCCATTGAAAAAATTCTTTGCACAGTGGCGCCACCTACATCTTGTATTATTCAAAAACATTTTTCACACAGTTGTGAAGCCAATCATAGAGGCTAAAAACTGGCGTTTACAGAATTTAAATGTCACTTTTAGTTTTCGAAATAATTGGCCTGGGAGTTTTTATATGGGGCAAAATTTTTGTCACCGATTTTGTTTAAACTTTACTTATTTGTTGTTCTTATAACGAAAAATCATAGCATAAAATTTTTTTGCTCTAGGATTGTTCATTCAAGAGTTATGGATTATTGAAATTTATCGATTTATTACTTTTTTGTGAAATCGCTTTTTATTTAAAAATTCATAACTTCTGTTTCTTTTTTTTATTAAATATTTCAATTTAACCACCTTAAATGATTTTTTCCGTACTTTTCACCGTTTTTACAAAAAAAAAATTTGCAATTTTTTTTTGAAATTTTACAATATTTTGCATTTTTTTAAACAATGTGTATTTTTTTTAAATAGCATAAAATCGAAGTTTATTATGTTATCTTTGAATAAAAAAAAAATTAGAGTGGGCCCGACATGTAGAAGTTTTTCATATTTGAATGCGTGCGGGTCTAGCCATCGAATAGCTAGACGGCCGTATGAGT